CATCCAAGGTTCCAGGGAACACCCCGTTGAATCATGTACAGGAAGTGATACGTCATACCCTCCCTTCACACCGCGACGGTTCCGAAATCCTTCGGTTGGGGAGTTCGGTGCATGACCTTCAAAAAGGCAAAGCGGGCGCAGCCCCCCCATTTGCGTGTTCGGGGTTCTGGTTCAAGTTAACCCCAACCCTAGTTCCAGGTCAGGGGTTGGGGTTCAACCCTAACCCTAACCTGCGGACCGGAGTTGGGGTTCGGGTTGACCCCAACCCTAACCTGCGGACCTGGCCCCAAAGCAAAGTTTGTAACGGACGGGTTTCGGGTGGCGGGGCTAGGGTCGATGAGACAGAAACTCCGAGAGAAAGCTGAGCAACCCAAGTTACAAGTGTAGAAGAAAGCTATTTAAACCCTTCAACCCTAAACCCAAACCCCTAAACCGCTAAATCCTAAACCCAGGATACGTTGAGAGCACAGCATTCACGCCTCCGCCTCCTGCAGCAGCTGCAGGCTCCTTGCCCAGCTTCGTGACGGAGGCTCTGCTACTGTATGGCAGGTGTGTGGATTTTTGGGCTCGGTTGTTTAGGGTCAATTAAGTCTACCCCCTCCAGTAGATCTAGCTGTTGTTTTGGGGCTCTGCTCTCAAGAAGGTATAGGGTCAGCCTATATTGCTCTGCTCCCAAGTGGGTATAACCGCCAAAACCCTGAACCCTCCTCATTAAACCCTAAACCGTAAACCCTCAACCTCCTATACCCTTCGGGTCCAGCGCCACTGTGCCGAAGCCGGCAAGGAGGCCATGGTGGCGTTGAAGCTGGCCTGGTCCGCCTGCGATGAAAGGCGTATGGGTAGTTCTCTAAACTAGGGTTCTCTTGTCAGGGTCCCCAAAGCTCGGAGTGCTCGAACCCCCCAACCCCTAAACCTAGTTCTCGAATCATCAAGCCCTATATCCCAAGCTTGACCACATCTTTAACCCCAAACATTAATTCCGTGTCGTACCATAATAGACCCTTCTACAGGGCGTCGTCCAAAATCGACCCCGTGCTTCCCACGACCGCAAAGCGAAGAAAAGCCCTCGCCTTCAGCGCCTTGCGCCTCAAATCCTGACGGCAGGGGCTTTCTAGTTGTTTGCAATTTGCTTTATTGCTTGAGCGGGCGGGGTTAAGGTCACCTGGCAGAAAGGTCAAAAGCCTTTCGAGTGGCTTGCTCCTTGTTTTCAATTTCTCTAGTATCGTTCGAGCGGTCTGCTCCCTGTTCTGAAATTCTCTAGTTCCTTTCGAGTGGCTTGCTCCTTGTTTTCAATTTCTCTAGTCTCCGTCGAGCGGTTTGCTCCCTGTTCCGAAATTCTCTAATTCCTTTCGATTGGCTTGCTCCTTGTTTTCAATTTCTCTAGTCTCTTTCGAGCGGTTCGCTCCCTGTTCTGAAATTCTCTAGTTCCTTCCGAGTGGCTTGTTCCTTGTTTTCAGTTTCTCTAGTCTCTTTCGAGCGGGTTGCTCACTGTTCTGAAATTCTCTAGTTCCTTTCGAGTGGCTTGCTCACTGTTGTCAATTTCTCTAGTCTCTTGCTCCTTGTTTTCACTTTCTCTAGTCTCTTTCGAGCGGTTTGCTCCCGGTTCTGAAATTCTCCAGTTCCTTCCGAGTGGCTTGCTCCTCCTTTTATATTTCTTTAGTCTCTTTCGGGCGGTTTGCTCCCTGTTCTGCAATTCTCTAGTTCCTTTCGATTGGCTTGCTCCTTGTTTTCAAATTCTCTAGTGTCTTTCGAGCGGGTTGCTCCCTGTTCTGAAATTTTCTAGTCCCTTCCGAGTGGCTTGCTCTTTGTTTTCAATTACTCTAGTCTCTTTCGAGCGGTTTGCTCCCTGTTCTGAAATTCTCTAGTTCCTTCCGAGTGGCTTGCTCCTTGCTTTCAATTTCTCTAGTCTCTTTCGAGCGGTTCGCTCCCTGTTCTGGACTTCTCTAGTTCCT